TTTAAAAAAAAAAAAAAGTACATGAGGGAGCTTCAGAAACTTCATGGACAAATTCCAATATATTTTAATTCTATTTTCCCACCAACTTTTTAAAGTACCCTCATATACACCAAGTTACTGACATCATTACCTGGGGTAGGTGGAAGGAGTAGAGAAAGAAAATGGATGGTAAAGAAGACAAGATTATTTCAATAAAAGTACCCTTCATAATAAAAAGAAAAAAGGAGAGGAAAAAAATAACCCAAAACAAAACACTATTATGGTCCTGGTAGGATAAGCACTGGACTAACTGCAAGGGCAGTGGTTCAAACCCACCAGCCATTCCTTGGAAACCCTATACAGGGTTGCTATGAGTTGGAACTAATTCAACAGTTCTTAGCAACAGCCATGATATTATCAAGAATTCCTGGTGACACTGTGGTTAAAGCACTGGGCTGCTAATCTAAAGGTTGGTGGCGGTTTGAACCAAAGAGATGATGATCTGCTCCCATAAAGATTACAGCCTTGGGGACCCAATGAGGGTGGTTCTATTCTCCACAGTCACACCACCACCACCACCACATAGTATCACATTTCTTTACAAATGTTAGGTGCTCTTTCCAGGCTCCTTGTCCCTACTTAGAATTGTCCCTCTCTCAAGACCACTCTGAGGCATCTAACCCCAATGAGGGACAAGATAAGACCCTTTTCTCACACAAGTGATCAATACAAAAAGATACATAAAAGGATGATTACCAAAAACAAGGCAGTGAGATTTTAGGTAATCATTTCTTTTTCATTCAATTTTTTTGATTGTTCCCATCTTTATTTTGATCTTGTATTACAGAACTGGGGTGATCAATAAAGCTCTTTTCTTTGTGGAATAAAAACAACAAGAGCAGAGGCTGAGGCAACGCGGAGGAAATGGGAGTGACCGGAGAATGCTGCTAGCACCATGAGCCTCCTCAACAAGCCCAAGAGTGAGATGACCCCAGAGGAGCTGCAGAAGCAGGAGGAGGAGGAGTTTAACACTGGGCCCCTGTCGGTGGTGCTTAGGCAGTTGGTCAAGAACAACACCCAAGTGCTCATCAACTGTCGCAACAACAAGAAGCTCCTGGTTTGCGTCAAGGCTTTCTGCAGGCACTGCAACATGGTGCTGGAGAACGTCAAAGAGATGTGGACCGAAGTTCCCAAGAGTGGCAAGGGCAAGAAGAAGTCCAAGCCTGTCAACAAGGACCGCTATATCTCCAAGATGTTCCTACATGGGGGCTCTATCAGCGGCAAATAGGGGCCCAAAGCCACCTCCCACCACCCTGTGAAGACCTGTGCTGTGTTGGGATTAATAAAGTCCCTGTGATTTTTTTACTAAAAAAACAAAACAACAACAAGAACAAAGTTGGAGTGAGGCAACACTGGAGACAAGATAAATTAAGAGGGCTTTTAAGTAATCCAAGGAGCCATGGTAGCATTGTGGGTTAGGTATTAGACTGCTCTCTGGAAAGTAGGTGGTTCAAACCCACCAGCTGCTTCATGGGCTAAAGATAAGGCTATCTGCTCCCATAAAGATATATAGTCTTTTTTTTTTAATGTTTTATTGTGAATTATATGATAGTTTACATGGGAGAACTTTAGTTTTACATTCATTCCATCGTATATCATCTCACTGCCATGGTTCCAATCCCCTCCATGCATCATCAACCACCCAAAGGGTATATCCCAGAAACCTACCCCCTACACTTTCCCCTCCTCCTCCAGTTTTCGGCCCACAGTCCCTTTCCCTCTCTGGGTCCAAAGTCCCCAGTCGCTTCATCACTCCACGTCATCATCACTGTTTCCATCTCAGGCATTTCTGTTTCTCTGGGCAGGGTCCCGCTCTCCGTTAAGATATATAGACTTGTAAACCTTATATAGGGTCTCCATGAGTCTGAATCAACTTGATGACAGTAGGGTTGAAGTTAAGAAATAATGGTGGGTTGAATACATGTAATGGCAATGGGAATGGAGAGATGAAAGAAGATTTCAAAATCATCAGGAGGTAGGATCAATAGGTCATGGGCACTGATGGAGAGAGAAGGAGAAAGCAAGCTTTCTGGCTTGAACAGTGAATAGGGAGATGTCTCATTCCTGAGATGGGGAACAGGGGACAAAAGCAGCTGCTGGATGGAGAACAAGTAGCATCTTCAAAATATTGATGCCTATGCCCCACCCTGAATTAGAACCTCTAAGTATGCATTCTCAGTAATTCAAAGTCACCATCAGGGCTGAGAACTATGGTGCAGACCCAACCTGGAGCTCTGGGGAACCACTCATTTAATGTCTAGGCAAAGGACAGAGGGACCAGGAACCCTGAGACTAAGAAAACATGATCAGAGAAGGAGGGGTAAGCCAGAGGAGGACGTGTTCTGGAAGTCAGCAGAGGAGAATGTTTCTAAAATGTTAACACTGTACTTGGTGCCCTGGTGCTTGATTGGTACTCAGTAAATAGATACTGGTGTAGTGCTATGTGTTAATGCACTGGGCTGTAACGTTGGTTTGAACAGCAAAGTCAGCCGTTCACCAGCCACTCCTAAGAAACCCTATACAGGGTCACTATGGGTCAGAACTGACTTGATGACATTTAACAACAACAACAACAAATATAATTTGGCTAAATGAAGTCCTGGTGTGGCACTGTAGGATAAGCGCTGGACTGTAAACCGCAAGGTGAATGGTTCAAAACCCACCAGCTGAACCTCAGAAACTATATATAGTGTCACTGTAAGTTGAAACCGACTCGATGGCACTTAACAACAAAAAAATCACAAAAAGAATAAGAGGACAGTGGTGTCAAATATTGCTGAGGAGCCAAGAAATCAAAGGCTTATAAAATGTCCATTGGATTTAGTATCAGAGAGGTCACCTTAAACTATTGTAGGGTCAATTTCTGTTGTTGAATGCTGAGAAGTGGGAAATGGGTTGACTGCTGAATGGAAGATTATGAAAAATTTTATCAAAAACCTTAGTTAAACCTTAAAATCACAATTCCAAGAAATATTTTCTGATATTACAAAATGCTCACAATGTGAAGCTAAATAAAAAGCAAAATACAAAACTCTACTTATACCATATGATCCCAATTCCAATATGAATTAGAGACATGCGGACTGAATTAAGAGCTGAGACGCTGGAGTCAGACTTGGTTGGGACTGAGTCCAAATTGTGCTGCTAACTCACTGTGTAACCTTGGGTTAGTCACTCATTGGGTTGTGGTGAATCTGACATACAGAAGTTAGATATGCGTGTAGATATTTATCATCTGTTCCTGTCAGTAGGTTCTGACTCATGGTGACCCCATGTGTGTCAGAGTAGAACTATGCTCCATAGGGTTTTCACTGGTTGCTTTTTTAGAAGTTCCTTTTCTTCCATGGTTTTTCTTCCAAGTAACGTCTAGGTAAGCTCTAATTCTCAAACTTTTAGTGAGTAAATGAGCACATCTACCAGGGAGTCCCATAGGCAGATGAATATGAAGAAAAACTATTACCAGAAGAAGATACCCAAAAAATGAGTGGTTGGATTAAATTGTCGAAAAAAGAGCATGTCAAGATCTATCCTAAAGGCCAACGCTGTCATTGATAGGATAATATCCATATGCTCATAAAGAAGGCCAGTTAATATGACTATTATTCAAATGTACACACCAAACTCTACTGCCAAAGATGAAGAGATCGAAAGATTTTTACCAAGCCCTGCAGTCTGAAATTGATCAAACATGCAACAAAGTGCATTGATAATTACTGGTGATTGGAATGTGAAAGATGGAAACAAAGAAGAGTCAGTAATTGGAAAATATGACCTTGATGAAAAAAATGACACTGAAGATCACATGATAGAATTTCACAAGACCAACAACCTATTTCCCTTTGCAACAACATAAACAGCAACTATGCATGTTGACCTCATGAGATGGAATACACAGGAATCAAGTTGACCACATCTGCAGAAAGATGCAATGGAGAAACTCAATATCATCAGTCAGAACAAGGCCAGGAGCTAACTGTGAAACAGATCATCAGTTGCTCACAAGATCACTGTACCAAAAAAGAATTGGTTGACATTCAACCATTTCAGTAGGTAGCATACGATCAAGAACTGATGGTACTGAAGGAAGAAGTTCATGGTACCTTGAAGGCATTGGTGAAAACAAGGGTCCAGAAAGTGACAGAAGAGCAACTGAGATATTTCAACAAACTGAAGCAGTGCTGGAAGTGCTCATTCATCTATGCTGGGCTGGATTGCTAGTGATCAAGGTAAACACAGGCTTACTTGTGTTTACTTATTAATCTTTAGTGAAAATTTTCATAAGAGTTTCCCCACATTGTTGTCTACTGGCTACTCCATCCTTTCCAGAGACTGAAAACGTGAAAAGAGGCTTTGATTTTGTAGGAAGGTCCTGTGGGGTTGACCTCCTACAGTACCAGTCATACTAGAAGCAGAATCTTTGATGTGGTGAAAACATGTAAGATTGTCCACTACAGATTAGTAAGTAAGTACAAGTAAACCTGGGTTTACTTTGCTTATTGAGTAATCTGACATTGTGTCTATGCCAAGAAATTTGGAAGAGACCTTTCTGGCCAGGTGATCGGAAGAGATCCATATTTGTGCCTTCCAACTGATGGGGTTCATCTTTTAGGTATTGTATCAGATAATGTTCCACTGCTATTCATAACATTTTCACTGGTCAGTTTCTTCAGCAATAGATCTCCAGGTCCTCCTTCCTAGTCTATCTTAGTCTAGAAGCTCTGCTGAATCCTGTTCACTATGGAAGACCTTGCTAGTATTTGAAATACTGATGGCATAGCTTTGAGCATCACCACAGTATGGAAGCAACCATAGTACAACAAACATACAGACATGTTGTATACATGCAATAAAAATGTAGGTGTAGAGACTAAAGAGTGAGCAAGTTCATGACTGATTATATTGATGGCAATCACTGAAGCCAGCAAGGCTGTTGGCTGAGAGGAGAATTTGAGGAAATGAATGAATGAATGGGGAACTGACACACAGAGGTATTGCCAAGTGGCCCAAAGGGCCTGATTTTGGCTACAGACCATGACTCTGCCATCACCCTCACCTGAGAGACTGGGATTTCCTCCAGCAAGCCTCAGTAGCCCTGGAGTAGAAGCATAGAGGGTGCATGGATTGATCCAAGGTTGATGATCTGTACAGCAGATGTGTGATGTGTAAAAAAGATCAGAGATGTTAGATGGTGAGAATGCCAAAGAATATGCCATGGGGTACAGGCAAATATGGAAGAAAAATATACCAGAAGGTACACAGCTGTGGTAGTCAATGGAAGGGTGGAAGCACTGAAGATCTAGATAACATCAAAGAATGGGTATGGTGGAGATTAAGCTCTCTGGAGAATATAGGCATTTCCAAATAGCTAGTCAACTGTCTGATTATATCTACACATGAACTCAGGCTACAGCGAGTGGGACTTGATTCCATTGGAACTTTAATTGTCAAATGGGTCACATCTGGGAGAATTGCCATTACACAGGAAAGTTTCCATACAGGGATTACAGGTGCTTCCCCTCTAGTAAATTAAATCCCTAATTGCATAAGTAAAGGAAGCTCATGTACACTCATACACAGACAGAAGAATACTGGCCCCCAATCAAAAATGGTCAGGAAGCCAGACTTCAAGGCAAGTTCTCTGTCCTGAAATGACTCTTTCGTGATCAGCTATCCCAGATGTCCAAAAGAAAAGACAGAGATGGAGCATTTGCAAGTTCCTGAACCCAGTAGCCATAAGGTTCTCAGAGAGCAACTGGAAAAGAGGATGAATTAATATCTGAATAAATAGATAAGCTAACCTGGACTTGGAAGTCTGGGGAGGATTTCTGTGATTGAGAGGGAGAAGGAATAGAATTCACATGGGAAGTAACTTAATCAAAAGACCAGAGCAAGCCATAAGCATGCCAGAACTGTGTGGTGGAACAGTAGGGACATCTCCTTCAGTAGAAGTTATATGCAGAGGGTAGATGGGAAGAATATTGAGAAACAGTATTTGAAAGAAACAGTGATTATTTCAATGTTGTAGTGTGCCATTGAGTGAATTCTGAGTAGTGGATGGATTTAAATTACTTTGGGTTAGAAACTAAGTGCTTAACCATTGGGCCATCAGTACTCTTTACTATTTAAAAACAAATACTGAAAATACACATTAAAAAAAACAACAACTTTGAATCGAATCTATTTTTGGACTCCAGTTGTGGCACTGTGGAATAAGCACTGGATGGCTAA